GGCCCTTGCCTAATATCCCTAATGCAAAGCCAATTAATATCTTATTTTTCACTATAGTGTGACCAGTGCAAGTGCCCTCGGACAAGCACTGAGGATACAGTGTTTATAAATATATACGATGGGTAAGGGCAAAGTCAATGCATCTTGAAAAACTACATTCCTAACAGTGGATGAATAGGGATTAACAAAGAACGGAACTTATACCAGATATAACTTGAGGTTTACCACAAGGTTTTCTAAGGGTTTAATAGTGTTTTGTGAGGTCCCTCAGGGAAAAACCTTGATTATATAATTTTTCATTTTTCCCACATCTTCGTTACCGGCAGTTCATATATCTGCTCTGAGTTGAAGTGTATGCACCTCACTGACAAAAGACAGACAGATGGTACAAAGTTTTCCAAGCGGGTTCTTGCACAAGTTTGGCGTACACACAAAGACCATACATTCCACACTAAACTTGTTGCGCGTACTCAGCGTACTCCATGTCAAACACGCATTAAACTTACGCACCTATGCAGTGAATGCTCACCAAAGGACTGTCAATTTCATTTAAAAAACACCCTCTTTTGTTCCTGCTCTAAGTGGATAGCTTTTCGCTTGAGTAGCCATGAAATACTCATGAAATATGTGACTGGAACAGTTTTGAACAGCGCCCTCTTTTGTTCATTCACCATGGCATTACAGGGATGGCATATACTCACTTGCTGATGGGTATCCCCAGGATGCTGAGGTACCCCCACTGGCCCAGGTAGTGCATGTAGACACGGACGAAGAACAGCAGGCAGAGCAGGACGATGAGCGTCCAGAACTCGCGGGAACGCCACTGGGACAGGCCCAGCTCGGCAAAGAGCTGGCGGGAGACATACTGCACCTTCTCGTGGCCAGCGCGGGCCAGGTGACCCTTGGTGGAGAACGGACGCCTAGGATGAGGGTGAGGGGGATGTGGAAATTGAAGAGTAAGAGGCAAGATCATTATTCCTCATTCACATAATCCTAGAAGCGTTGGTAAGAGACTGAAAAATACGGTGCATCTTGGGTCAAATGATCACCTACCTAATCCCGACCAAACTGACACCAGAATCTGTCTTTTGGGTTTTTACAACCTGAAACTTTCTTTGCTAAGTACAGAAACAAATTTTCTAAACAATAACATGCAAGGTGGAACATAAAAGCATTTGTTTTGTTTCTGTATGTAAAAGCCAGCCTCATATTAACTTCCAGTTTGTTTAAAGGCACAAAACACAATGCAACAGCATGGAGCGGCGCAGTTTGCCAGAAAATCGTACGACAAAATCCCTTACATGACCATTGGGTACCTGATCATTGGGAAACTGGTACAGTGGAACATCACTATACCGAACACCGCTATACCGAACATTCAGCTGTACCGAGCATCGTCCTTGGCTCGCAATATTTTGTCCACAAAACCTACCAAACATTATGCAGTTTCAAATCAACCAAGATTCGCTACAGCATGCATTAAAGATAAATCCTGTGAGCGGTAGCTTCATGACTCTTAGGATAAACTAATTATTAATTTTGTTACTCAAGATTTAATAAAAAACAAGAATAATAAACAGATACATTTCCAGAAACCTCAAACGTGAATGCAACAGCAAAACATCACGAAAACAGCGAATCATACTATCACAAGAGGGTACACTTCAGTTAGACAAGAGGGCGCTATTCAACAAGGCAGCGGAAAGTTGGCAGTTAATTTCGCTATACCGAACGACAGCTATACCGAACATTTAGCGTGGACCCCGTCACGTTCATTATAGTGACGTTCCACTGTACCTAGTTCTAAATGGAACCCACAAAATGACACCCCTTATATATTTCTACCTTGGCACCCAACTGAATGATGGCAGTTAGCCAAGTAGTCTTGGGTTTAGTCATGACCTTGTGCCTGCAAGGGTTAGACTTACTGGACGGCAAAGGTGTGAGTGTCCAGTTCTTCTAGGTAGGTCAGTTTCTTCTTCCTCCGTTGGGGGCTTAGAAGTCCTGTCTTGGGTAGCATGGTGTAGAGGCGTCGCATGTAGTCAGTAGCGGGTGGGTTCATGTGGTGCTGCAATTCAGAAATCAAAAACAAATTGAAATTATAATTTTAATTTAGACAGGATGTTTACTTTGACAAAAAAAACCTGAAATCATGGTTTGTGGCCAATGATTGGAGGGTCAGTACCGTAAGTTGTGTCCCTAGGCAAGCCACTTTACTTTCACTTGCCTCTCTCCACCTAGGAGTATAAGTGGGCGCTTGCATTAACTAAGGAGAAACTTGGAATGGACTGGCATCCCACCCAGGGGAAATAGAAAATATCTCAATCATTTCAGGCCAATGAAAACAAAACAAATGCGAACATGATGGGCTATATTTATTTATGACAGACTTTCCTTGCTACCTTAGAAATCTCAGGGACTCACTTACTTTGTAGAACAAACCAGCCTCTCCTTTAACTGGCTCAAAGCCGTCCAGTTTCTGCAAGTATTCCTCGTCCTCTGAATTCTCCTCGTCCGAATCCAGGTGCATCTTGGCATCCTTACTGAACAGTTTGCGGGAGCCAATGACCGTGGGTGGGGGCTGGGTGGTACCCCGATAGCGTAGGTCTGACAGCTTGTCTTCCAAGGCAGAAATTTTCTGTAGTATGAAGGTGGGATTTGGGGCAGTTCCAAGATTTCAGATTCATGTGGTTTTCAGAACTTTAAATATTAGTAACATTCAAAATGGTTCAGACAACTGACTGAGAATACGCTCATTTCATAACAGTTGGAGACATTTTGTGGGTTTCTCAGTTGAGAAGGTGTTCTAAATTGGGAATTGCCTGTTTCAGCAAGGAATGAAGCAGTACTTATGCTTGTCAATGTGATTTTCTGCAACATGGGATGTTCCGAAAAGAACAGGAAATTTCCAACTTTTGGAGAGACTCTTGACATGGGAGGAAAGTGAACAGCGCCCTCAACTATCAATGCATTATAGCAACAAGGATCTTCCTACCTGTTTGATATCCTGGTCATTGTTCAAGCTGGCCCTACTACTGGGTCTGGGTACTGTCTCGTTCATCTGCTCAGAGCCTGCTTTGTCGGCTGAGTCGCCAGTCTTGTCGGAGCTGCCTGCTTGCAAGCTGGCCTGTGAACCCTTTCCAATGGAGTTGCTCAAATCCCCTGACATGCAGAAAAATACGTCTTCAGCGTCATGCACTGTAATTCCTGAAATAACATGTGCACCTTTGGAAGGTCATCCCAAGGCCAGTAACAAGGCCTTTTACAAGGCAAGTCTTAAGTAGCTGGGTGCAAATGGAAATGGCAAAGGAAATTGATTTGTAATGGACTCCATTACAGCCTTACTCCACACGCTCAGTGTTTCTTCAATAACAACGATCCAAATAATGACAAGACAAGCACTCCGCTCCCTGAGTTCTATGACTGTGCAATGAATCACCCACCTGAATTGGAGACCACCTCAGCGGTGGAACCCATGATGGGCTCGTCTCCATCGATTGCCTCCTCTGCTGTCCTGGTGCGATCAGGGTAGCTCAGCAAGTTGGAGGAGAATTGAAGCTCCACCTCGTATTCCTTGTGACCAGCAATGTACCTTTACAGCAAACGAGGGGGGGGAGTTTGGTTATTACATTAATTAGAGTGATTCATGACACCAAGAACCTGCCAATGGTGGACCAAAACCTGCTTTACTAGTGGTGCTCCATGAAAGACGCTAAATATTGTAAAATGGTACTCACCTTCTACTCAGGAATGAGGTTTTTGCAGTTTGTTTGAATGGATTTATATATGATGGCTTCTTTGTTTGAAAGCACAATTACTAAGATGGATTTATAAATGAGTAGCAATATGTTCTGTTTGCATGGCTTCACCATGCATTTAATTTCCTGGGTTAAATAATGAAGGATGAAAGCTACATTACCTGTGGTTCAAATCAGATGTTGATAATTCGGAGCAAGTATTTACATGAAGATCCACCATTCAGGGCATAGTATCAGAGAAACTTTACTTGCATGAAGTCACAGAATGACAGCTCCTCACACTCACCAGATGCTCTGATCAAATTCAACTCTTCTGGGAAGTGCTAGGATTAGGCCCCCTGCCTGGGTCCAAATTTCACAGTCCATAATTTGATAAAGCTCACCTGGGCAGCTTGACCACCTCAAAGTACAAGTTGCTGAGCCAGTGGTCAATATCGGATGCCATCAGCTTCTCAACGGTCTCATGGCGGTCAATCCGGGGATCAGCTTCACCTCGCAGCATGGGAGTGACATACCTGACAAACAAACACACCAAAATGTAAACAATTTAACTGGAGCAACAAATAATTTCTAACCTCTGGCCAAATATGAACGTACTTCGCTCTCACTTGAACAATGAAGATTAAAATTAATCTCCAGAAAGATTTCAATGGTGTAGCAAAGCCAAGGTTTGGAAAATGACCCTGCTGCCTTTGTTCTTCAGTACTCACTTCCCTTGGATGATGTTAAACTGGCCATCACAGATGGGGAACACACCCCAGGCGACCACTTTGTCCACGGGGAGGAGAGAGCCACGAATCAGGAAAAGTTCAAACTGGAGTATCATACCAGGACGGATGCTAGGCTTGGATGGGCAGACTGTGAAGACGCTCTGGTCAATCTAAGCCATATACATCGAAGAAAATCTGTCAGTCTTTTGCTAATCCGTCTAGTCTGAAATTTCCAATCAATCTTGTAGAGCCCTTCATGCTGGATGATGTGTAAACAGGTAAGGATATCCTGTGTCATAACATGCATGTTTGAACATGTTCCAGTGATTTCTGCACACAGTGCTGGGTGACATCTATACTCATCAATTAGCTGTGGGCAACATCTCCAGGCACTGTGGCAATTATCGCTTGGTGACATGAATGTCTACCTTCGGTCAGCATTTGTAAAGGCCAACTTTAAAGAGGACTATCTTATATCTGAAAAGTTGGTATTTTCAGCCGTAAATAATACGATGCCTGGGACAAGTTCAAGTGGTTACGGAATATGCCTATGCAGCACTGCAATAATTCAACTCGGCGTCAACAACCATTGGAATTAAATTTACGAGAGAGTTTGTTTTTCAAAATACCTTGATCTCAACATTGTGGAACCGCCCCTCGTGATTCATGGGGAGAGTGGCTCCGCCCCATTCCTGGCCCCGAAGATTGGACCAGCGCAGGACGTGCCCACCGATACGGTCATAGAGTGAGACCATCAGCACGTAGCGTCCGGCTACAGTTAGAATCAAAAGAATAGCAATTAGCTCATTTGATGAACTTTGATCCAACGAGTTATAGCAGAAGTGATTTGGACCCACATTAACCTACCTGGGAGCTTGTCTTTGACCCCACGGAGACATTTCAACTTGATCTGGATTGGCTGTGGTGCTCGGTTCCAGTCTACCTTCCAACGACGACCTTTTGACCCGCCATACTGCCCATCCGCCATCATGAGATCTCCATACATTGTCTGTTAAAAACACCAAGCAGAAAAAGTGTACAGTAGCTGAGCCCTACAATCCATACGTGCATCAGGTTCACAAACTGTGGACGAAAGTTGATGATACAAATCAATTGTCAATTGTAACTGTGTACGAAAGTTGATGATACAAATCAATTATCAATTGTAACTGTGTAC